CAAACACAATTTAATCCCATCAATGTAAAAGAAACAACAATAAAATAAGTTTCTACATCAATTATTTTTGAAACTGAATTTTCGAATAAAAAGGTCACACGTGTGCATGTAAACAATAATTTTTCATTAACTTAATGTACTATGTTCGCTTAGGTTTCTTGAGAATAATAGGCTCACGTCAATATCTCATTTTAATATATTCTCAATATATTGAAGAGTTTATTTTAAAAGGAATAAATACTAAGAAATTTTAGATAAGTCTGATCATATGAAACACAAGAATTTGACTATTATTTTAGATATAATACTTTCAAGATTCATGTTTTGGCTATATAAATTAAGACAGAAAAGAGGAGCATTGTTTGTGAAAGGAGGCTGTGTGTTTAATTTTCTTTTGACTCTGTTTTATCAATTAAATAGTCAACGGCAACATATATGGCGCACCATACGGTTAATGTTGCTGCTTCGTAATCGGTATCTATCTTTTGCATCCTGAAAATCGTTAGCAGCCGTCTAGTGTTTTTCGTCCAACGAGATACCCCATCTGTGTCTTCTTTCTAAAAGAAGACACATTAATGTGACTAAACTTGATCCTAAGTCGCATTTTTTTTCAGAGTATATAGCTACAACAGCATAATGGTAGTTATCTTAAGTATCATCAATTAGTTTTAATTCATTAGGCTAAATATTATACCAGTGATCTTTTTCAGCTTGTTATCTGTCTTTCTCGAAGTAACTAACCCACTTTTGCTAACTTCGAACCTGTCTGACCGGTCTGTCATGTACACTCGATTAGCATCAAATGATGCGCACGTTGATTTGCAATTGTGCATTGTTCCGGAAAAGTTCTTGGACAAAGCTCTTTACAAGAGAGAGGTTTGACAAGCAAGAGTCATGTGGTGCTACACACAGACTATAGTAATTTAAAACATGATGGATAGTTAGTTATTTGTTCACGTTGATTACATTTTGAATTGCGCCAATTAAAAACAAATTACTTAATTACATCATTTCTTTTATGAAAAAATTTTAGTCAGAAATAGTATTTTTTTGAAAATTTTTTGTCTAATCGTAAATATATAATATAATTAATGTGATTAGTTCATTTAATTCAACTGGCTATCGGATGATAATAGTAGCTGCGTCCTGTGCTGCTGCTACAGCTGTCGCTGCGGTCGGTTACTATTTATTCAAAGAAGATTATGATGATGAACAAAAAGAGGAAACGATTGAGTTTCGGGAAAAATCAGTCATCGAAGATGTAATGAATCCAATTTTATTGCCTAATCAAGAAAGTATTTTAAAACAAAAATTGAATCTAAATAAGCCAAAAACTAGTTTAAGCGAACAATTTACTGTATTAATAAAACGTTCCGCTAGCACCATCAGACAAAAGCAACAAACACCAAGCAAGCACGATATGATGACAAATGAGTGCTTTTCGTATACCAAAGTTATGGATTCTGAAGGTGTGTTCAAGCGCTTTATTCCAACTGGTTCAAAACGCGACGCTAATTTCGGCACGCCTCCATCCTCGAAACGAGATTTTTCTGCGCAATCTTTTACTTTTATACACACACCGAATTATTGCGCTGATGATTTACGAAATCCACAACGTGGAATGGATAGTAGTATGAATGGATACTATACAACAATTGGAGATAGAATTTTACATGAATCATATCATCCTTATTCTATAATAAACATGCCGTGTGTGTCTCCCGCTATTCAAATGCCAAAGGGTGCTTTTCTTTCTCCTCCTACGGCAGTATCATGCAACAACAGCACAATAAAATCGTATGTTGTGTATGAGAACCATTCGGACATCAATCAAATGTTTAAAATTATCATGTTCTGTGCGTACAATGTGAATAATCTAACAAATGTCAAGACGTATTGTGCCAAGAATTATCAAATTGCTCTATCCACTCACGTCTCACATGAAGTGCGTAGATATGATTGTGTTGCAGCTCTTATTTATCTAATGTACAATTTCAACGTAGTAAGACGGAATCTATTCCAACTTGAAACATCTTTCGAAAGGTTACAGGCAATATTTCAGCAATACGCATCGCCGGCATTGTCCTTTTCAACGCTGTCAAATGTGGTTCAATTACAAGGTTCAATGAAATGTACACATTTAACAAATATAAATTTATTTGAACGTTGTTTGATGAAGATCAGTGTGGGAACACAGGATGTATGTGAAACTTTACTCATAAGTAAAAATGAAAATGTGTAAACGTAACAAAATCTGAGGTCATGCTCTCCAGGAGATTATCAGTTATTTATGACTACAGTTCTTGTATTTTTAGGAAGAAATTTCTCCCAAATTATATTCAATTCAGCGTACAAAAGTTTCGATCAAAACTGATGAAAATGGCATTATATTTGAATCACCTGCTTCGAGCTCGCATCTAACAAAGGCCCCAATACCTGAGAGTTTGAACTTAATAGAAATGAATACCAACGCAGCAAACGTCAAGATGACTACTCCAAACGTAATGTCACAAGTCAATCTGGCACTATCAGACAGTGAGACAACGAATGAAAGCATATCATCCAACGATAGTGTAGCATCTTTAGCAACATTATTACCGAACCATCCTCAATGGTCTAGAATGATCAGTCAAAATTATTGTGAACAAGAGCAAAATGAATTAGATGAGAGTCTAACCGACAACAAATATCGACACCATTCCATTAGCGATGATAGCACTGTCACACCAATAGGAATTTTGAAAAAAAAATCGAGTTTTATCGTTGATCAAGCTGAGCAGTATTTGAAATCAACTCGTAGGTCAAACATTCTTATAACATCGACGTTTAAGTTCAAACTAGAATATACTCTGTTTATAGAACACAATCTTGAAACAGTAGCAATTATGAGAAAGGAAATAATGAAAAATGTCAACTCGTGTGTTGAGAATCTATCTAAAATTCTTTGTGATGTTTGTTTTGATGATGTTGCCAAAAGTAAAGAATCATCTCACGTATCTCATGGATCAAACTCAGTCAGTAATATAACCGAACTGATAAACGTAGAACAGCGAAAAGTTAGTAATCCTCCTCGTGGAACCGTTAGTTTATCGGTGGTTAGTTCATCTTTACCATTAACCATATTAAAAGAAGAAAAATTAATTAACACAGCAGCTGATTTGAAACGTGAAATTGTCGGTGATTTACAAACGATAGTCAAGCAAAACTTTATTGAAAGTTATATGAATCAATCGAACTTGCAACAAACAACAACATGCAAGTCCGAAATCAAGTCGAATTCTCAGCTGATGAGTAATGAAAGCTATGTTAATAGTAAGTAATATAAGTCGTTGTCTATGCTACAGTAGTTAAGCGAATAGGATAAAAGAGAACTGGAAATTCTGGAGATGTTCAACATACGCTACCCTTATTATCAAATGGTCATTGATTATTGAGCATACCAGTTAAAAACCGTGGTTTTCACCCTGCTCTTTACTTCTGATCGTTTAGTTCGATCAACGCTTCAATCTTCTCGAGCAAGACTTCTCTATTATTTCTTGTTTTTTCCACACGTACTCTTCTCTTTCGAGTCAGTCTCTTCTGCTTCGATGGATTTTAAAATGAACCTCAGAATATCTTTGACTCTCAGATGAACGATCTCAAGGTATCTTTTCGACACGTGCTCAATTTATCACCATCAAAGTCCAGAAGATGAGCACATTTTCACAAACCTGGTCGCTTTTCCCCACCCGTTAATTAGAAATCGTACACAATGTGCTCAAGTGTCCGTCCATTCTCCGAGAAGGTGATGAATCAACGACTCGGAGAGCATATCATGTACTGTGTAGAGAGTACGGATAAGAAGTTAGTTAATCTGTGATGACACTATTGATGCTCTGTATAAAACACAGGGATATCGTGTGAATATCTGAACGTTTTGTGATTGTTCTAACTTTGTCTGATTGCCATTTCACTTGGTCGACATTCAAATCTATCTATCGTATAGTAACTGCCTATTTTCACTTCTCATTGTCGTTAATTGATTTTTTAGCTGATGCTGATTTCACATCGAATCTATGTGTAGTATCAAATTTCTGGTCTAAGCAGAAGCCATTTTTCATCAACAATCAGTTAAATTATAATCTTTCAAATTCTTCAGATACTCAACAGAAAGAAAAAATAAAGATATTATGTTCAGATAAACACTTAAAAAGAAAAAGTGATGTAGTGCCGTTGCAGTACATGTCCCACGATCAAACAACATCGATGATGAATGCTGCACAACATCCACCGATATCTAACTATGAATTCAATAATAAACTACCGACTCAAAACATTGAATTGCAGCAGAAACGATACCAGCAAAGTTCAATTGATATTAATATTCCTAAATATATGAAGGCACCGTTGGTAACATTGCAAGAATCAGGATTGTCTGATAATAGTCATGACATATCAACGTTATTTCACCATAGGAATAGTAGAAAACGAAAAAAATCCGAATATAATAATTTAATTATCGATAGCAAAAAAAAATCAAAATATCCAGCTGAACAACAAATC